ACTGAAGCTGCGAAGTCAGAACGCGTTATGTACGGTTTTTTCGCTGAGTGAGCTTTTGCTCACCGTTTTTGATCTTTGAACCTAATATATATATACATATATATCAACTTCAAATTAATTTACATTAAATTATTGCCGAACTTACATTTTCCATAATAAAAGATGTAGTAATGTATTTAATAAGCCACACTATAATGAAGAAAATAAGAGCTAATACTTCCAAAACAAAATCAAGGTTGAATTCCGGAATGAGTAACCTCATAAACTGTAAGCAACATATTTAATAATATGCGAAAAATATTTTATAATTATAGAATTACTAGTAGATGATGCATATCTGAAAGAAAAGTTATTTCAATAAAACTCATGCATATGCACGAAATGTGCGTTTAACTTTAAATCAAGCAATAATAAATGCACATGATTAAATATACGTAATCAATTATGTATATTTAACATTTGATGAGAAAATGTTACACTAAAACAACTGTGCTATGAGATTCAAATAATTTGAAAGTCATTTTACAATTAAGTTAAACCTTTCTTTGAAATATACAATAGAGATTGAACTGTTTATTACATAAATATCAGTATTTAGAATATTAAATCGCCATTTGTATGTTGTGAGTGTTAAATGCGTGTTTTAACTAATTCAACTAATTTTTTGTCAAAGATGCCAATGACATTCATAATAATCTATACCTATAGCTCGCGCAAAGCACGGCTCGTAAAAAATGAAAGAAATATAAAATAAAAATATAAAAAATATGAATGTTTTAATTCTGTTTACATTTATGTGCAAAAACCAAAATTTAATTTATTATTTACTTTCGTATGCCAAAGTTACTTATTTTAGAAGAATTATTATCAAAAACAGATATGAACAATTCAACAATGTTAAGAGTGAATATATATATATATAAATAAAATGAAATTAAGTATAACGTATCGTCTAAAAAAAAACAGATACCTGAATTGTTAAATACAATCCATAAATCAGTAGTGATAGTATGACTTGAATTTGTCTGATCGTAGAATTATCGTAGGGCCAGAGTCCAATCGATGACAAAAGCATATAATTGCGTCTATAGTACTTCGCCTCGTGGCACTCCATCTCGGATAACAGTTGAAGCGTCACTGAGAACCTATAGCCTATAGAAGTTTCTTTCCCCTTGCTCTGCCACCGCTCACTTAATGTCTTTCATTATCATATTATTGTATTATCAACTTTTACACGTTTATAGAACATTAAAGCTAAGTGCTATAATTGAGATTTGGATCTTACATTCTTCTTATGCTTATTCACATATATAAGAAGAATATAAGATCCAAAAAATAAAATTTTTAATAAAAAATAGATATCTTGCGAAGAAGCAACGATATCTTTGTGTTATGTCCTATTACAGTATTATCTAAATTATCGTAAATTATAGTCAGGCGAATACTCCTTATTTTTCTTATCTACCATAAATGTGCATACGGGGAACAGAATTTATACCAGTAGGACGTATAAAATCGAGTATGTTCACCTCTGTATTTCGTACTTCAGATTATTTCGAACGCAGAATAGTTGAATATATTCAAAACATACTGGAAAGTGAAATTAAGCTGCAATTCTTCAGATAACAAAAATTAATTATAAAACATAAATCAACAGCAAATTTTGTGAGTATGACACTGTTACTGACCCAAGAGATATTTTAATTGAACTGACCTATTATTTATTTTAAAGACAAAAAGGTACAACACGTCATCCACCCACTTCATTCCCGGTTTGCCCACTCTCCTGGTCTCGTACATTTGTCCCAATAGATTTATCTTAGCGATCCTGGCGTTTTCGATTCGTATTATATGCCCGGCTCATCTCATTGTCAGTCATGCTCCTCTGACCCACCCAACAATGTTCGATTCCTTGTACAGTTCATACAGTTCGTCGTTATAGCGTATACATCATTCAATTGGTCTGTTGTTTATATGGCCATAGAGTTTTCGTAAAATCGTTCTCTGAAAGTATGCCAGTCGGTCACTATCTTGCTTTGTCATTGTCCACGTCTCGCATCCATACAGTACCACCTATCTAATCAGTGCCTTATATATTATAGTTTTATTTTGGTATGTTTCAATACCGAGGGTGAACACCTCCTTATTGGTAACAGTGCGTAGTAGGCTTCGCTTTCCTTGTTGATTCTCATCCTTATCTCCGCATTTATTGCACCATCTTTGCTGGCTAGTATTCCCAGGTAAATAAGATTTTTTCCTTTGGGTCTTACGTCATTTATTCTGCATGTGTATCCATCGATACACTTTCAAGATGCGTTTCGCATGAATACATGCATCATAGTTACATGCATCTTCGCATTTTTGCGGTCGGTTTTCGCGATCAGTTTTTAAAAATTTTCAAGAAATTATTAATCGTTTATTTTCATCCATATTATAAATTTTAATTTATCGCGGAATGTAATTAAAATAAATATAACGCAAAGTAAATTGCTATTTTCTATGTACTTGAATTTTGAATTTAAAGATTGAGTCACGAAGAGACAGTAATTACCTATTTTCAAATAAATAACGGAAATAAAAATACATTTGATGAGTTTTATACAGCAATTTTTATTATTTAATTTTCTTCTTTAATTAACTTCTAGTGGTCGTGCGTTTCGATACGATCGACGCTCGCATTTAGTTCGAACCGTACGAAATATCTTTCGGTGACGATAATAAACCGATTAAGAAAGGAGTCTTCTTCCTTCCTGATCTCTGGTCAAAATGACCAGACTGTATAGCTAAGAGCAACGAACGGTATATCTAACCTCGCCCAACGAAAGAAGACTGAATACGACGAAGTAAGTGGTCAACATTGGCTACTTTGATTGAGTATGTAAATAACGTGATGTACGAAATATGTTGATTTCTTCTTATTTGTCAAAATTCGGGTGAGTTATACTCTTATCTTCTTTACATATTCTCACATATGTGCGCGATTAAAAGACCTCTATTAAATTCCAATCGCGCGCGTATAACTCCAAATCTTACCCCTTATAAATCGCTTTACGGTTTTAAGGAAAGACTTGTAGGTTTATTAACAAAAAGTTGAAGCGCTGGTAGGTAGAAAAATGGATAGGATTCTATAGAGCGGAATACGGGTAGGTAAGGATTCGGTTAGGCAGGAACAGGGGGTTAGTGAGAAAACTTCATTAACGAGTTTAAACTATTAGTTTAAATTTAACAACAACATAATCAAGATTCAAACTGTTTTTAATTAAATTAACTTTTTAGTCACTTTACTCATTATCAATAATTTTGTTAAATTAATATGACTTTGTAAGATCTCTATACATTACCATGTATCTCTATAAAATTGTTAAATCGCTGGATGTATCTTTTGTAACTGAACTTTTTATTTCTCTTTATATGGAACACAAGAGCGTCATGACAGAAAGCACTAAACTCATGGTCTGAAACAAAAAACATTACAGATCTTATTGTTAGTAATGTGATGAATATTTTTATTATTATTATATGATTTTTCTGATTACAGTATGATTTCTTACCGTGGTTAAACCTTCCAAACTAGGACTAAACAGACCACCAGCATCAACTTTGTAACTTTTTGTAGTTTTTCTCAGTAAAAAAAGTATAAATTTTTGTATCTTTAATGGAGCATTGTACCATTTTGTATTACATCTACATTAAAAAAAATTTATTATTTTCTTAACATATATTTGCACACATAGAAATTTTATATACATGTATACATACAGGGTGTCCCGTTCTATTTTTGACAGTAAAATATCGAAATAACGGATTTCCGAAAAAATAATTCGAATCACCATTGTTGTGTGTTTTCGCTTTAAAAATAAATTAAATACTTAAACAAATCCTGCGAGAAAATATTACATTTTATCAGTATACCTAAAATTTTGTACAGTAACTTGAACAATAGATATTTTAAGTATTTTTAAGTAAACTTTTTAAGGGATATGCTCAGGCGCTAAAATTCGTTCCTGTTTATTACTCGATAATTGTGGCAAATTATACAAAATAGCGAATAATTTTTCTTTTTAGTTTATCCCATTTTATCGCGATCTTTGGAGTGATCACTTTTGTGTCGGACACCCTGCATATATATACACACAGTCGTGAGCTGAAAACTAAAGGTTTTCATAGTTAGCCAACGCACTATTCTTAGGGGTAGTACGCATAGTATCTTGTAACATTTTCGATACATAGTGCTTTAGAAAATAAATTAATTGTACTACATACATTGCTCGATGGACAAGGTCATCATTATTTGTAAATTCTTGCCCAACAAAATTGCCTACAACTAAAAGCACAAGAATAGGACACACATAATTAATTAATTTTAAAATTTCAATCTTTTCCTGTCCTTGCATCGTTATTATTCGAAATAGCTGCAAATAGCATCAATAGTTGCAATATAAATAATTTAATAAAGCTGGCAATAATGATAATAATAATTTAACCGAAATTTCTACGCACACGAAAAAGACTAGCAGTGGCCGAAATTAAAGCTGTCAGAATCATAAAGAGATACGATATTCCAAAGCTATTCTTTAATAATTCCGAAAATCTAACAGAATAAAGGGTTTTCGTTATTACTCTTCATGAGAAAATTGTAGAAAGTCGTAATATTTTATCTTCGAGCTCTTGCCAATTAGTATAACAGACTTTGTTGGAATTAGTAGCATACTAACTCAATCGCTCTTGTATGGGTGTCCACTGCAGCCATTATTTTATCATGGAATATAATATAACTTTTAGCTATAGATATTTGTGAAACATCTTCGTTTAACATACGTTCCATACGGTAACTATAAAATTCTGTATGTTATGAAAGAGATATGAACAATATAATGTAGCACACAATTATTGTAAAATTTTACTTAAAAATTATACCTATAAAATTATTCTATTATACCTTATTTAAATAAATATTAATCCTATTTATTCTTACATATATGATTGCATTCAGCAATAATAAATATATATCAAAATGTACCAAAATTCAATGAAATATAAATTCGAAAGCTCTCAAGTTATTTACTTCTCTACTTTGTTATTGTTTATACTTTTTCCTTTTGCCCTATTTCTTTTAACTATTTCATATGAGCATGACCACATGTGATTATGCATATAAAGTGAGAAAAAAAGCAACGTAAAAGTACAAGTGACAAATAAAAAGGAGAGAGTACACCATACCAAGGTCCGAATGTACATAAAATCTAATTAATGCTATAAATAAAAAGTTACCTAATTGATATCAATCGAGTACAAACTCTAATTTATTGCTAGGAAATGTTTTCTTCATTAAAAATATACTAGTTCAATTTTCAGGTTGAAACAAATAAAAATAAACACAAACAGTGAAAAGTTGTTCATTAAAAAATATTTCTGTCTTACGATGTACCGAGTAACTTTGAACATTCCGAAAGCATGTAATGCGTTTACTAATAAAAATGTTTCAGCCGCTATTCCAGTAGTTCCACAAAGGAATAAGCCAATGCTTTCATGTATCATTATAATATAAAGATACTTTTCCTGAACGATCGAGTATTTTGCCTGATACAGAAGTATACGCGAGCGAGATTCATTTAAAGGCATTACTGTATCAAGAAGATCCGGACTAAATTGTATCAGAATGAAACCAACATATCCAACATAGACCACAACTGAAATATGTTAGGTTTTATTAATTTATTCTGTTAAAGAAAATAATGGTTGCTGCATGTTTAAACGTTCAAATTATTTGTGCTATACCAAGTTTAATAAAATTATGAAAATACTTCTTTTTTAAATAATACATAGATATCACGTTTCATACAAACAAAACAATATTTTCATTGTTGTTAACATATATAGGGTGTCCCATTTTAACTAGCACAGTAATAAATCTTAAAAACTAAGCCCAGCAACAATAATGTTTCAGACAAAAGTTGTATGGTGTCGAGGGGGACATAAGATGGTGTCATCAATTTGACGTTGAATAGTTGCTTGAAGGTCACCTTCATTTTGTTAAGTGGAACCCCTTATTGTTTTTTGTTACAATACACAAAAATTTTCAATAATTGTAACACTATTGCAACAGCATATTCCTGAGACTATATCAAGACAAAAAGTCCTGTACAACCATTCAAGATCAAACCAATGGTATCATCTTATGTCCCCCTTCGAACCAAACAACTTTTGTTTGAAACGTTTTTCCGTATCTTTCATATTTTTGGAGATATTTGCGTGGATCATTTACAATGAGACACTTGGTATATACATTTTTTCTGCGTTCAAAAATAAGAAGTTATTTGGGGTGGAACATTAAATTGGGACACCATGTATATACACACTGAAAAAAACTTTTAATAAAGAATGCGTAATTATCGTATTAATTTTAAAACTCCAACAAGCACGACTTAAGGGGATCCCTCAGTCATCTTTTTTACCGACACAGTCAAATATAGTTTTGGCGTTTGTAATTCTTTTTATTAGCTTTTATGTACCTAGCTACGCCCTTGCACATAATTAAATTACATCCGAATTTAATCAGGATGAAGTAATTAAAAATTGATTGGAAAATGTTTTTACTTACGCATTATAGCTATTGTAGATTGTCTTCCAATATCGGCATATTTATGCATTATGTCGATTTCTCGATTATCGGATAGAATATTCCAATTATTTTTGACACATTTCCGTATTTGTTTTATCTATTGATACATGCAAAAAGTATTATTGTATATAGCGATTAACTTCAAATTAAATTTAGTTTAAATTACTGCAGAACTTACACTTCCGATAACAACGAATAAATTAATATATTTGACAATCCACACTAAAATGAAGAAAGTAAGAGCTACTACTTCCAGAAAAAAATCAAGGTTGAATTCCGGAATGAGTAATCTTATAAACTGTAAGCAACATATTTAATAATATGCGAATAATATTTTATAATTATAGATAATGCATATCTGAAAGAAAAGTTATTTTAAAAAACTCTTTCATACGCACAAAATGTGCGTTTAACGTACGTGTATTGTAAATACCCGAGGAACAAAACCATATATCTAATTGTATCTAATTATTAAAAAATGTCAGATATAATAAACTTTGATCTAATTATATCCAAATTTTAATCCATTCATTTATAAGCACATCAAATCAGATGTGGTCAGATATAGTCAGATAAAACGGTATAAACATCTGACTATACCTGACTACATCTGCTTTGATATACTTATAAATGAATGGATTAAAATTTGGATATAATTAGATCAAAGTTTATTATATCTGACATTATTTGATGCAATTAGATAAAATTGGATATATGGCTTTTTCCCAGGGTATAGTTATCTCTTGCAAGATTATCTGAATAATATTATTGTTGATAATGATTCCAAATATTGCAATTTCTTGTACATCGAAATGAGGAAAAATAAAAATATTTAACTTCTGGATCAAAACTTTTAAATCAAATATTTAACTTTAGATCAAGCAATAATAAATATACATGAGATTAAATATACTTAATCAATTAGGTATATTTATCATTTGATGGAAAAATGTTACACTAAAACATCTGCGCTGTGAGATTCAAATAATTTGAAAATCAATTTACATTTACTTTATTAAGCCTTTCTTTGAAATATACAATTATATCTATTATACAATAGAGATTGAACTGCTTATTAGATAAATATCAGTATTTAGAATATTAAATCGCCATTTGTATCTGAGTGTAAAACACGTGTATAATGATTTTTTTTAATAATTTTGTATCAAAGATGCCAATGACATTCCTTTCATAATAATCTATACAGCTCGCGGAAAGCACGGCTCGTAAAAAATGAAAGAAATTTAAAATAAAAATATAAAAGTATGAATATTTTAATTCTGTTTACAATTATGTGCATAAACCAAAATTAAATTTATTATATATTTTAGTACGCCAAATTTATTTATATTAGAAGAACTATTATCACAAGCAGATATAAACAATTCAGTAATGTTAGTATTGAATATATTTAACAAGTGAAGTTAAGTATTATGTATCGTATGAAAAAAATCAGATACCTGAATTGTTACATACAATCCAAAAATTAGTAATGATACTACGACTTGAATTTGTCCGATGGTAGAATTATCGTAGGGCCAGAGTCCAATCGATGACAACAGCATATGATTATATCTATAGTACTTCGCCTCGGGAAACACCATCTCGGGTAACAGTCAAAGAGTCACTGAGAACCTATAGCCTATAGAAGTTTCTTTCCCCTTGCTTTGTCACCGCTCGCTTAATTTCTTTTATTATCATATTATTGTATTATCAACTTTTACACGTTTAGAACATTAAAGATAAGCGCTATAATTGAGATTGTGAAGAAGCATAAGACGAATATAAGATCCAAAAATAAAATATTAAATAAAAAATAGATTTCTTGCGAAGAAGCAACGATATCTTTGTATTATGTTCTATTACAGTATTAACTAAATTATCGTAAATTGTAGTCAGGGGAATACTCCTTATTTTTCTTATCTAGCATAAATGTGCACACGGGGAACAGAATTTATACCAGTAGGACGTATAAAATCGAGTATGTTCACCTCTGTATTTCGTACTTCAGATTATTTCGAACGCAGAATAGTTGAATATATTCAAAACATAATGGAACATGAAATTAAGCTGCAATTCTTCAGATAACAAAAATTAATTATAAAACATAAATCAACAGCAAATTTTGTGAGTATGACACTGTTACTGACCCAAGAGATATTTTAATTGAACTGACCTATTATTTATTTTTGAAGACAAAAAGGTACAACACGTCATCCACCCACCTCATTCTCGGTTTGCCCACTCTCCTGGTCTCGTACATTTGTCCCAATAGATTTATCTTAGCGATCCTACACTGAAAAAAATTTCTGGTTGAATATGGACGAATCAGATAATTCCTTTAGGATTTACCAGAATTCCTTTAGGATTTACCAGAATTTCTGTAGGATTACAGGAATTCTGGTAAATCCTAAAGGAATTCTGGTAAATCCTAAAGGAATTATCTGATTCGTCCATATTCAACCAGAAATTTTTTTCAGTGTAGCGTTGTCGATTCGTATTATATGCCCGGCCCATCTCATTGTCAGTCATGCTCCTCTGACACACCCAACAATGTTTGATTCCTTGTACAGTTCATACAGTTCGTCGTTATACCGTATACATCATTCAATTGGTCTGTTGTTTATATGGCCATAGAGTTTTCGTAAAATCTTTCTCTGAAAGTATGCCAGTCGGTCACTATCTTGCTTTGTCATTGTCCACGTCTCGCATCCATACAGTACCACCTATCTAATCAGTGCCTTATAGTGTTTTATTTTGGTATGTTTCGATACCGAGCGTAAACACTGAACACCTCCTTATTGGTAACAGTGCGTAGTAGGCTTCGCTTTCCTTGTTGATTCTCATCTTTATCTCCGCATTTATTGCACCATCTTTGCTGGCTAGTATTCCCAGGTAAATAAGATTTTTCCTTTGGGTCTCACGTCATTTATTCTGTATGTGTATCCATCGATACACTTTCAAGATACGTTTCGCATGAATACATGCATCATAGTTACATGCATCTTCGTATTTTTGCGGTCGGTTTTCGCGATCAGTTTTTTAAAAATTTTCAAGAAATTATTAATCGTTTATTTTCATCCATATTATAAATTTTAATTTATCGCGGAATGTAATTAAAATAAATATAACGCAAAGTAAATTGCTATTTTTTATGTATTTGAATTTTGAATTTAAAGATTGAGTCACGAAGAGACAGTAATTACCTATTTTCAAATAAATAACGGAAATAAAAATACATTTGATGAGTTTTATACAGCAATTTTTATTATTTAATTTTCTTCTTTAATTAACTTCTAGTGGTCGTGCGTTTCGATACGATCGACGCTCGCATTTAGTTCGAACCGTACGAAATATCTGTCGGTGACAATAATAAACCGATTAAGAAAGGAGTCGTCTTCCTTACTGATCTCTGGTCAAAATGACCAGACTGTATGGCTAAGAGCAACGAAAGGTATATCCAATCTCGCCCAACGAAAGAAGACTGAATACGACGAGGCAAGTGGTCAACATTGGCCACTTTGATTGAGTATGTAAGTAACGTGATGTACGAAATAAGTTGATTTCTTCTTCTTTGTCAAAATTCGGGTGGGTTATACTCTTATCTTCTTTACATATTCTCACATATGTGCGCGATTAAAGACCTCTATTAAATTCCAATCGTGCGCGTATAACTCCAAATCTGACCTCTTATAAATCGCTTTACGGTTTTAACGAAAGACTTGTAGGTTTATTAACAAAAAGTTTAAACGCGGGTAGGTAGAAAAATGGATAGGATTCTATAGAGCGGAATACGGGTAGGTAAGGATTCGGATAGGCAGGAACAGGGGGATAGTAAGAAAACTTCATTGACGAGTTTAATATTTATCAATGAAATTTTTCGCTCTTTCACGATAGAGACAAAGATCCACTATATGGTATAGCCCCAGGATAAGGTGCGGATCGCACAATATATGTGTCAGCTTTACACCTAAATATTAGTTCAAATTTAACAACAACATAATCAAGATTCAAACTTTTTTTAATTAAATAAAATTTTTGTAGCTTTACTCATTATCAATAATTTTGTAAAATTAATATGACTTCTCAAGATCATTATACATTATCATGTATCTCTTTAAAATGGTAAAATCGCCGGATGTATCTTTTGTAACTGAACTTTTTATTTCTCTTTATATGGAACACAAGATCGTCAGGAAAGAAAGCACTAAACTCATGGTCTGAAAAAAAACATTACAGATCTCAGTAATGTGATGAATAATTTTATTATTAAAAAATGATTTTTCTAATTATAGCATGATTTCTTACCGTGGTTAAACCTTCCAAACAAGGACTAAACAGACCACCAGCATCAACTTTGTAACTTTTTGTAGTTTTTCTCAGTAAAAAAAGTATGAATTTTTGTATCTTTACTGGAGCATTGTACCACTCTGTATTACATCTACATTACAAAAATTAATTATTCTCTTAACATATATTTGCACATATAGAAATTTTATATACATGTATACATACAGGGTGTCCCGTTCTATTTTTGACACTAAAAAGTCGAAATAACGAATTTCAGAAAAAATAATTCGATTCACCACGTGTCCTTCGCTTTAAAAAAATTAAATACTTAAACAAATCCTGCGGGCAAATATTACATTTTGTCAGTATACTTAAAATATTGTACAGTAACTTGAACAATAGATATTTTAAGTATTTTTAAGTAAACTTTTTAAGGGATATGCTCAGGCACTAAGATTCGTTCCTGTTTATTACTCGATAATTGTTGCAAATTATACAAAATAGCGAATAATTTTTCTTTTTAGTTTATCCCAATTTATCGCCATCTCTCGAGTGATCACTTTTATGTCGGACACCCTGCATATATACACACAGTGGTGAGCTGAAAACTAAAGGTTTTCATAGTTTCAAGCGTATGGCCATGTTTTACAAAAGAGACATTACTTTCGATTATTAACAATCTCTAGTTGATCTTTTATAATTGTTTGTCCCGTTTTCACGGTACGATTCCGCAACAATGGCAAACTGCATGTTAAGCATTCGCTCTACCGCTGAATAACGCAAATTTAAAATTCAATAAATTTAAAATTACAAAGTTTGAAGTTAAAACATCTAAAAATTTAAAAATACTGAATTTCTTGTCAGTTCCATATTAGGGCCTTCACGTCTTGGGCCTTGTGCCTGTACACTTGTATGTATGTGTCTAATACTTAGGGTCCCTAGTAGCGCAGTGCGTTAACCAAACAATGGTTAAACCCTGGCTAAATATTTGGTTGTATTCGGCCAATGTTTAGCCAACGCACTGTTGTTAGGGGTAGTACACATAGTATCTTGTAACATTTTCGATACATAGTGCTTTAGAAAATAAATTAATTGTACTACATACATTGCTCGATGGACAAGTTCATCATTATTTATAAATTCTTGCCCAACAAAATTGCCTACAACTAAAAGCACAAGAATAGGACACACATAATTAATTAATTTTAAAATTTCAATCTTTTCCTGTCCTTGCATCGTTATTATTCGAAATAGCTGCAAATAGCATCAATAGTTGCAATATAAATAATTTAATAAAGCTGGCAATAATGATAATAATAATTTAACCGAAATTTCTACGCACACGAAAAAGACTAACAGTGGCCGAAATTAAAGATGTCAGAATCATAAGAAGGTACGATACTCCAAAGCTATTCTTTAATAATTCCGAAAATCTAATAGAATAAAGAGTTTTCGTTATTACTCTTCATCAGAAAATTGTAGAAAGTCGTAATATTTTATCTTCGAGCTCTTGCCAATTTGTATAACAGACTTTGTTGGGATTAGTAGCATACTAACTCAAGCGCTCTTCTGTGGGTGTCCACTGCAACCATTATTTTATCATGGAATATAATATGCCTTTTAGCTACAGATATTTGTGAAACATCTTCGTTTAATATACGTTCCATACGGTAACTGTAAAATTCTGTATGTTATGAAAGAGATATGAACAATATATACAGGGTGTTACTAAATTCATGTTACTTCGCTTGAGGGGTGAAAGTACAAATCAAAACAAACATTTTTTACCAATACACTTGGGGGCGGAAACGAACCCCTAACCCGTTGGAACGCTCGATGAGTTCAGGGTAGGCAACCCGTTGACTCCTAAAAGCCGTGGTTTACGGCCAGTGCAAACCGTTGAAGAGCTCACCGAAAGAATTATCCAAGCGTTTGATGAGATACGAGCTTCCCCAGGCAAGTTGCAAAGAATAAAAGAAAACATGATTCGCCGTTGCCACTTGTGCATCGATCAAGGTGGTCGTCATTTCGAGCCCTTGCTCTAAAATGTGTTATCGGTTTACAGAACTATTAATAAACCGTTGTTTAATTGAACTGTTGTTGTTTTCATCAAAATCCCAACATTTGTTCTTAAACGTAGCGGCCAGCGTAGTAAAAGAAGTGCACAACGAGTTGCCTACCCTGAACTTTTCGCGCGTTCCAGCGGGTTAGGGGTTCGTTTCCGCCCCCATGTGTATTGGTAAAAAATGTTTGTTTTGATTTGTACTTTCACCCCACAAGCGTTGTAACATAAATTTAGTAACACCCTGTATAATATCTATAATGTAGCACACAATTATTGTATTTTACTTAAAAATTTTACTTAAAAATTATACCTATAAAATTATTCTATTATACATTATTTAAATAAATATTAATCATATTTATTCTTACGTATATGATTGCATTCAGCAATAATGAATATACATATATCAAAATGCACCAAAATTCAATGAAATATAAATTCGAAAGCTCTCAAGTTATTTACTTCTCTACTTTGTTATTATTTATACTTTTTCTTTTTGCCCTATTTCTTTTCGCTACTTCATATTAGCGTAACCACATGTGATTATGCATATAAAGTGAGAAAAAGAGCAACGTAAAAGTAAAAGTGACAAATAATAAGGAGAGACTACACGATACCAAGGTCCGAATGTACATAAAATCTAATTAATGCTATAAATAAAAAGTAATCTAATTGATATCAATCGAGTACAAACTCTAATTTATTGCTAGGAAATGTTTTCTTCATTAAAAAATATACTAGTTCAATTTTCAGGTTGAAACAATTAAAAATAAACACAAACAGTGAAAAGTTGTTCATTAAAAAATATTTC